CAAGCGAATTACATATGCGAAATACCATGCTTAGAGACAAAGGGTCGTAAAACCCTCCAGCAGTTGCAACCGCCCGCTTGGGATTTCAAGCCTTTCTCATTGGACAAGCCATCTTGAGAGGCGGGAATCTTCCGAGACTTTAAAGGCCCCACTCCAGGGACCCGCCCAGAGTTGGTGGTTCAGTTAGATTCTAAGATGAAGACATGAGCTAGAATGCTCCAGGACACCCTAAGTACGTGCCAGGCTTCGGCCTTGACTTTTCCATTCACCAAGATTCTCTGACTCAAACTGGTTCTTTTTCATCAACCAACTTCAGCAAAACTGCTTGAATTGCACTGGCATGCATTGGTTACCGTGACAACAAATTGTCACAGGAAGCGCTAACTCCACAGAGCACACGCTTCACCCGGCGATGCCATGTTGTAAACAAACCACCTTAAGCAGCTAAGCTAACACGACTTAGCATAGTTTAATCTTAGGCTAAGCTACAGCATATGTGGAACTAACTGAGAGAAACACCAGATCTAAGGCCTTAGGAGGCCATCGGCATGCAGCCAGAGCTGAGGTCCAAACCCTGACTCAGCAATTGAAGAGGAGCTTGACATGGTTCAGAAAGAATTGAAACAGTCCTACCGACTGCGCATAGACTCATTACATCACCAGCAGTGCAAGCCCTCCACGCCTGTGCACAGCTACAAAAGGGGGGGAAGGGACCCAAAGCCTTCTGCTTGACACTTCACAAGTCAGCTGTCTTTGCTGTCAATGTCAATGTCTTTGACTATTGCAGCGGACACTTTTAAGATGCCATATCAAATTAAAAGATAAGAGCGTTAAAAGAAGCTTTTAAAATGAGCTTTTGATGAAGCTACTTAGTTGATAAATTCTGGCCTATACAAAACATTGTTTTTATTATTTTAACATTTATAATTAAATATTTTCACATCGAGAGGCAAAATGTAGAAAATGCTATACGCATTTAATAAAAAGCAACACATAGAATTCGCAGCTAAATACTGTTGTAATATCAAATCAGGAGAGCAATTCCCAGCCCTGTTCAGCAGAGGTATACAGTCAACAGGGACATAATTATCTTCAGCATATGAACAAAGATTTGTAACGTTACTTTTATTATTTGAAGAAGATCCACACTGTCTGTCCCATTTCTTCGTCCCCAGCACTTAAGCATGTTTAAACACTTCCATCTAAAACACTTTTTAAACACTAGTGAAAAGTTTCACTAATTAAATTTGGTATGTCAGGGCATTTTTTTCTTCTTTCAATTAAACAAAACAAACTGGGTCTCCCAAATTGAATTTTTTGGTTCTTATAGGTTTCTGGGATCCCCCTGCCACCCCTTTAATGTGAACACTTCTATATCACATACATACTGATTTTGTTCCTACTCTTTCTCCTTAATCATTTCTTGTCACTGTTCACTTTCCTGTCTAATAAAAGTGCAAAAAGGGTGATTCTAATTCACATCGAGTTCTTGGCCTCAGCATTCAAAGCCTCACTTTTCCTTTATTCCACCTTTTCCAAATTCTCCTCCATCATTCTGAAATAAGAGACTGATGGCTGCTCAGATGGCCTCCCTTGGGCAGCAGAAGAGATCGCTGAAGGAAAAAAGTATCTGGGAATGCTGAGAGAGGCTCTCGGCTGCCAGTGTCATCATGGCTCCGGAGCTCAGCTGCAGGGCCCTACAGGACTGAAATGTATTTCTCAGCTGTGATAATGGGCTCTACACTTCTGATTTGATACTGTGCTGAAAAGAATGATTAGTGCACGAATTTACCACCCCATAGGCATGAAGTACACACTTCTGATAAAGGGCTTGACATCTCATTTGAAGTGCACACTACAGCATAGAGGGGCTTGTATGAGATCTGTCCTAAGGCAGGGGCTACGCAAAGACTAAAGTACAGTAACGCAGTGTAGTCTTATCAGTATCAGTGTGGCCGCAGGCTCTGTGAAGATGAAGAACAATCACAGGACTACACACAGTCAGAGGCATCATGACCATTCAAAGTGAGGGGGCACGTGCCCCAAGCCAAGTGGATTTTGAATGCAGCTTCCAAAAGACAAAAAATAGCCGATTAAAATTTTCTATATTTAATACAATCACACCGGCGTGATTAGAACATTCAGTGTGTCATATCATCAGCTGCTAAATTCAAATCTGCGTTCGTTCGCTGGCTAGTGCTGAGCCAGATACATACGCATTTTACAGCACTGCGCATTAACCAATCACGCACGATGCTGTTGAGCTTATGAATGCAATGACCAATCAGAGGTGTTCAGATGAGTCATCGCTAAAATGCCGGTGATTATGACTAAAATTCACTCGCTCGCTGACTGAATACCTCTTTCCGGCAATTCTCTCCTTAGAAACAACAAAGTGCAAATGTGTGTACAAATCTGTAAGATATTAATTTCATAGTGTAAACAGCTTCAGTGATTTTAATGGGAGTTTTTGAGAGTGCCTGTGTGTCACATAACGACCCCAACCCCCCCCCAAACTCGTGCCCCCTCAAATATAATGAGTGCATGATGCCCCTGCACACAGTTACATATATTTAATACTACACAGTAAAAAAACATGCTTTTTCAAAGTTTCAAATAAAGATTACTGGAGTATGTTTTACTTTAAGAAATTACTATTTCAGTCTTTCTACTTCAATTCTTCATGTTTAATTCAATGTGGCCATTTCTTTGTAATTCTTTGTTAAATGTATGTTTCAAACATGTTTCAAAGTCAATCCTACACCAATTTTTTTGACATTAACACAAAGTTCCACAAATAAAATACAATATACGGTTTTCATAATAGATACTTCAAACACTACTTATGAATGTATAATATTTAAAAATATTTAGAGTGTAGTTACTATAGATATTATTTACTACTCTCTTTTCTGTTACTCAAAGATGTTGACACACTGATTTGAAAATGTACAAAGGTAAAAAAAAAAAAATCTCTAAGTACAATGTTTGTACTTAGCAGCAAGAAACCTGATTCGCTGTCAAGGCAACCAGTATTGAGAACGCCCACTAGCAACCTCATCGCCAGCCCTTGGCGACATGCAGCAACTTTTGTCGCTGCTAGTGTGAACGGGGCTTAAGTATAGGCGGGTCCACAGCGCGTGTACACTCTGCTTATTACACACACAGGGACGCACAGCAGCACACAAACATGCCAAATATTAAAAATTAAAGGATTGCAATGTAAAAGATTATTATTGTGTAGGCTACATAAATGTAAAAATGCCTACATGTCATAATGGATAGTCATTGCATGTATCAGAATTGGGCTACCTATTTGCTCACGCATGAGCAGCTCCGTTTCATCTCTGGAGACGCCTTCTGTCTTTGCGCTTGCAAATTCCGCCGTATAAATAGCAAATACGCCATGACACGAGCGCAACTGGCTCTTAAAGGGAATGGGAGATGAGACTCTGATTGAAGTGGGGTATGAGTGGTTATGAACGAATAAATGAAACGCATTTGTCCGTGTTTCACTCTGTCTCGAATCACGCTCTCGGAAAGCGCTTGAGAAACAGTGTCTATTCCATGGCTCGGTACGCTTTCAACTCGTTTTTTTTGGTCTGGAGCAAGACTGCACGACATTCACATTACATGATTTAACTGATTTTTACGTAGAAAGGGCGACAGCACACCGCATTAAAAGAAATGATCATTCATGTTTTCATGACCGCTGGCCAAATTCAAAAACGAAACTAAAATTAAATCATCTTTGAGAGCAAGGGGGCCCCCTGGTGTTTCGTGGGCCCTACGCAGCTTGCGTATTTTGCATATAGGGAGGATCGGCTCTGCATTACTGCCATGTGCCACAGAGATGCACCAATCAGAAAAACATTCATTATTGATAATGACTGCAGGCAGCCAGCTGAACTCTAGATAGATAGATAGATAGATAGATAGATAGGGGAGAAATAGAAGTGCACAGCTCTTAGGTTAAAAATGAAAGACTTTAAATATGAAACATCTTTAGTTCTCAGAGAACATCTTTGGTCCATTTGAATCCCCTGCAGCATAGAGCCCAGAAGCACTGTGTGTGACATGCATGAGTGTGCATGTGCATTTGTGTGTATGTGTACATAATAAACACACAACCCCCCACATGCACATTTATGAAAAAATAAAATAAAAAGAGTAATTTACGCAAGATAGAGTGCAGATGGCCATTCATGGGGTGCGTTACAAATAATAAACAAATGAAATATCTATGCATTTTTCATTATGAAACATATCAAATCCTAGTGCATTCTATAGAGCTGAACTGGCCACCACTCATACTGAATGAGAGTGGAAAGATTTGATTAATTCTCAATGTGTTTTGGCTGACAGATGAAGTAATGAGGAGAAAGAGTGTGACGGTCATCCTGGCAGCTACAGATATGCAAGCAGCCTAGAAATGAAGAATTTGCAGCAGTGTGGTCTGTGGAGGTAGAAGAATCTCTCTCATACACAAACACACACACACACACAGCTCTATGATTTGAATAAAACTTCTGTTGAGAGTGTAAATGGGAACCTAATGTAAGGGAGAAGCCAACAGTCTCCATTAGGAAATCAACTTAGTAACAATAAGTATCGCTTTTTATTTCTCCTCTTTCCTACTACTTGTTTAACTTCTGTTTCAATTTTTATAACCATTTCTTACTATGTGTAAGTAAGTTGTTGTTTTCTAGCATGTAAGTTTGGCAGTGTTATTTTTTAGGATTACTGATAAACTACTGTCGTTTGATTTGTATTATTTGTATTTGTTATTTATTTTAATTTAAGTTAAATGATGTCTGAATTTATTATGTCTGTATAGGTCTTTTATTAAGTTTTAGTTTTATTTAATACTTAAATTTACTTTCCCTTCAGCCTGAGGCTTATTCATTTCACTTTTGGTGTGAAAAGGCTTTTATATTTTCCAAAAATAGAACTTTTTTATTTTAAAAACAAACAAGCAAGCCCTGTCCAGATTTAAAAAGTAATGCAAAGTAACGTAACGCATTACTTTCCATAAAAAGTAACGAAGTACCGTAATTAGTTACTTTTTTATGGAGTAACGCGATATTGTAATGCATTACTTTTAAAAGTAACTTTCCCCAACACTGGTTGTACATACACATATATGTAGTTTTTTTTGGTGTTTGGCTTAGTGTTATGTTAGAATCATTATTATACTCTTATACCTTTTGTTCTTTAATATTTTGAATTGTTTTTAGCTTTATTTTTTGTTTTTCATTTAAATGTTAAGTTTTGGAATTCTGTTGTATGCATGTCATTTTTATTTAATTTCTTTATTTTTAAAATGTGTATAAGTAGTATTTATAAAGTTTAAGCTTTTAGTTTTGGATCTGTTTTTAGTTGTTTTAATACTACAATTGATTGCTTCTGTTGTCCTCATTTGTAAGTCGCTTTGGATAAAAGCATCTAATATGTTAGAATCATTATTATACTCTTATACCTTTTGTTCTTTAATATTTTGAATTGTTTTTAGCTTTATTTTTTGTTTTTCATTTAAATGTTAAGTTTTGGAATTCTGTTGTATGCATGTCATTTTTATTTAATTTCTTTATTTTTAAAATGTGTATAAGTAGTATTTATAAAGTTTAAGCTTTTAGTTTTGGATCTGTTTTTAGTTGTTTTAATACTACAATTGATTGCTTCTGTTGTTCTCATTTGTAAGCCGCTTTGGATAAAAGCGTC